TACAAACTTCGAGCTGGAAACCAAATGCAGCTAAAGTAACGCTGAAGCGTGCTGGTTACTATACAATTCCGCCGCTTGATAAATTAGACGAGTATGTTCGCGGTGAAACGTGTATTGTACCAAACTTTACTGTTGGGCGTGAAGATTATGGGAATGTGTACTTCCCTGAATCGTTTGATATATATGGCCTGAATTTAGACGAAATCGTACATTTTCGACACAAGGAAGTCATCATTTATCCAGATGATGAGAAGAAACCACCTATCGGAGAAGGATTAAATCGTAAAGCACAAGTTACTTTAGACCAAGTATGGCCACACGATAAATCTCTACATAAGCCTATTACCGATCCCCAACGTTTAGCTGCGATGGATTACGAGGAAAAATTACGAAGAGTGTCAGCGAAACATGATACTAGATTCTTAGAGTATCGACCTGAAACTGGTTCATGGGTTTTTAAGGTAGCTTAAATCCCAAGCAGTTTTATAATCTTTCTAATCTCATATTTATATTTCTGTCATGGTTATATATCCTTTCAGGTAGATCATTTTTCTAAATATGGCCTAAGCGATTCAGATGAAGAAGATAATAATGTCCCTACAGCGAATGACACGAAAAGATTAAAATTGTGTGCAACTCAACAAAAATGTGCAACCAAGCAGGAGCAGTCAAAAGTAGTTTCAGTAAGACTGTTTTACTCGTTAATTACACAAAAATTGGAATGCCTACACAATCCAAATTTTTACAATCAATTTTTTGTTTTTAATTAGAATAAAGATACTTCCAAGGCCAATGGTTTAAAAACAGCGAATACAGATTATTCAGATTTAGATGCACGTGGACTTCTCTTGGAAGCAATTGTCTCACGCCGGTCGTTTAGAACAGGTGCGTGAGATGTATAACTTTATATTCAATTCGATTATGTATAATTCTATTGTATTTATTGTTACTATACAGTACGAAAAATTCTTTTTCAATAGATCAGAATCGTGAAAAACAACTACCGATAAGTCCAACTGGTGAGAATGCTCGCATTTTGGGTACAGACAGTCATAAACTGCAATTAATGAAGGCCAGCTTCTTTGATGGTAGCGACGAAGAGATTAACGAGGCTTATGATCAAGGTAAACTCTGATTGTGTTAAGATTATATTATTAATTTTTTTATTTATATAATAATGTTTATTCTTATTTAACATTGGAATATTATTACTATTTTAGAATCGAATCGCGCGTTATTTCTTTCCGATCGTAGAAGTTCTTTGCGATGTTTCACCAATACGCCACAAAAGTTAGATGAAGATCAAGACTACGAACCAATTTACAGTCCGATGTTACGATCTAATTTGACAATTCATCGGACGCCAACTATTGCTTATGAAGAATCGACCCTTTCGAAGACAGGTAATATCAGTTTAATGATGTATGTAAGATTAATATTTTGTACATTGTACAAGTTACAAGGGAATCAATTTGTGCTATAGATTCCAAATTGAAACGCTCCATGGACATCGTTGCTAAGACATCAACGATGTATGAAAAAGGTTTACCGGATCCTTCGATAACTCCAGTGACTACAATTCTTCGATGTATTTCTGAAGTGATTCCGTTATCAAAATCTATTATACATAAACTGGAGTCTCGTTCTGTTGCTGATATTGGTAAGCAGCTTTTATCATATTCGTATTTATTAAGAATTCGTGTAGATAATGTAAATAATTATATGCTATTTCTATGTATTAATTTAGGCATACAAATGGGAAGAAGGTTTAAACCAAGTTGGGGACGTGGTTTAACATTACTTACATTGAGTACGAAAAAACAGGCTGACGATGTACTATTAAATAATTCTTTTGAACAAATTGGATCTTACGTATGTGGTCGTTCTCCAGAAGATACAACATCCGTTGGGATAGTCCAACGTATACAAATTTTGGGTGGTAGTGGGACCGGCGAAGAACGCATTAAGACATTCAAAGTAAATTTCATTTTTAAGCACTTACATTATTTAGAATTAGACATTGTAATATTTATTCTTTTATTTTCATTCTTTGTAACATCATTTAAGGAAAGTATAGAAGGTCATCTAAAAATTCAGCTGTCACATCGTGTAATGAATCCAGATGAAGACTGTCTAATTTTTGATGTAGATACAGATATTAATAAGGCGAGCATGGCTTTACACGCACATTGTAGTTTAGCCGAAGAATTTGCAGAACAGTTTGCCACAGATTCCTTTGCTTCCTATGTTGCTAACGTTTGGAAACTCTGTGTAGCTCTTTGGGGAAATTTACCTGATATAAACGTTGCCACAGGTATGTATAATATGTATGTTAATTTATAACTTGATCGTTTAATTTTTCAAATGTATTATAATTCAAATTCAAATATAATATTATTTCTTCCTCCATCCCCTCTTTCGTTTATCTTTCCTCCTCTATTTGTAGTCTTTCTTCCCCCGCTTTATTTTCATATATTTTTTGTTCCTGATATACGTCTGATATACAAGCAGAAATTATGTAGAATATGTAACGCGCACATTCTTGTGTGTTTCATTATTTTAGAAAATTCAGAAGACCATAGCGTCGTAATTGCGCGGCGAGAGGCAATCGGGCAATGGTTAAGAAACGTTATACGAAAAACTCTCGTGTTGGAGGATACGGATATTAATTATGAAACAAAGATATTGCTTTTACTATCTGGTATGTGTACCTGATAAGTATTGTATGCAATTATATAGAATTTCTGTCTTCCTTTCGACTTATTTTTCTATCATCGTCTATTTGAAATTGCAGCTTTCGAATTAGAAGAGGCGTGTAAAATTGCAAGAGAAATGGGTGATCATTGTTTGGCCTTATTGATGGCGCAGCTGTGCAGTGGAATGCCAATAAAGGTATTAACACAGCAGCAAATTGCATTATGGCAAAATGCCGGTGTTGATGAAAATCTCTCGTTAGATCGGCTAAAGCTTTTTGCACTTGTGGCGGGTGAACCACCTAGTAAACATTGCCCAATCAATGTCTGTGAAGGCTTTGATTGGAAGAGAGCGTTAGCTGTTCATTTGTGGTAAACATCATATTTTCATAACATGATACAATCTTTTTTTTATTTTCATTAAAATATTACAATATACGTATATCTATATATTATATCGCTCGTGTATGGTGCAGGTATTTCTCATCTCCGACTGCCTCTATAAGAGACATATTAGACATTTACGAGGCCTCCTTCGATACAACCAAGACAAATGACGTTTATACGTCGATACCGAAACCTGAATACAAAGGAAATAATTTCGAACTTGAAATAAATAATGGGAAACCAATATATGATCTCTGTTTTCATCTTTTAAAGTTATTTTGCACTGGCAATCATACGTTGGGTGAATTATTGAATCCAGCAACACATACTGCTGATCCAATGGATTACAGACTCAGGTAATGGATCAATTTCTTTTCTCACAATTTCAAATTCAGTTTAATTTGTAATCTGAAATAATTTAATTTAATCTCAGTTGGCTGATGCAGCAAGTACTTTTAGCTTTGGGTTATTCACATCTTTCGGAACATGTTGCCATCTTGACACATGTTAATTTTGCGACACAATTAGAAGCATATGATCTTTGGCATTGGGCCATATTCGTAATGTTACATTTAAAAGATGCCGCCAAAAGGAAGACTGCGGTAATGAATTTATTGCAACGGCATGTCGAAATAGACGATGCTAGTGATTGTCCTGATTTTATCGAGAGAGAAACGTTTTTACGAGAAGAATTGGGTATACCTTCGATTTGGATTCACCATGCGAAAGCCGTGAAAAGTTACGTAGCTAAAAGGTTAGTGGAGAATTGGATCTATATTAATCATACAATACATGTTTACACATCAAATGTCGTTTCGCGCTAATGTAAACGCATGGTTGCAAACATTTCACACTTAAAATGCAATACACAAGACACATGGTATGATTTTACGTGGAATCTTGATTTGCATGTGTTTAGTTATGAACGAAACGGTTTGTGATGGCAATCGTAGCCGATAAGTCTAAATCTCTGTAAATTGGATAAGAAATTCTAATAATAATAGAGTTTAGTGTAATTCTTAACCCGATGTAAGGGAATCTTTTTTCCTTATTTGCAGATACGGGAAAGCAGCTTTCTATTTTATACAAGCAGAACAGTGGAATAAGGCGCATGAAATTATTATTGAATATTTAGCAGCAGATGTTATAATAAACGGTATTATAATAAACGGTTTCATTATGAGTTAATGTTCAAACAGTGTGTTATCTCGTTATGTTAAAGTCATGACTTTTTGTTTATTCTCTATTATATTATTATAAACATTTTCATTATGTTAAAGTTATATGTATGACTTATTTTCAATTTTTGCTCAGAAAATTACGATTACCTGCGCAGCTTATTGCGTCCACTGACTCCTTTAGAATGCAGTAGCACTATAAGTGGTTGGACATATCAAGGACAATTACTCTGGGAGTATATGGAAATAACTATGAATGTTGAATCTTTGCTACGTAATGCCGATCCACGTGGAATAAGTTCTAAATTGGAATCACTAAAACAACGATTGTCAAATCTTCCTTCCAAAATCAATCAATTTCCATGTTTAACTGCGAAACACAGGTAAACTGTTACAATTCTTCCCTTTTACATTTTCTATACAGAGCGTAAAAGATCAGCAAATCGTTAATATTTGAATATGATTGTTCTTTGTGATAGGCTTTGTCAAGCGGAAATTGCAAAGAGAACGATACACTTAGCTAGGAATTTGTTACAACTGAACGAGAATAAATCTACGTCGATATATCAACTGGTATCTCAATTACCATTACCGGAAGACTATGCACAACAAGAGCTTCGTTTTGTCATTAATATGTGCGTGAACGAAATTATATATTAGGCAACATAATTGTTTTTTCGCGGAAATCAACAATCTTCTTCTTTCGGCCAAAATAGATATTTGTGATAATATTTCTTTTTTCATGATTTTGTAATAATAATTATAATGATTTATGAAACGATTTTATGATTTGTAACCACGATAATGGTGATGAAGATTGTAGTACAATTAATTGCGACAATGGTAGTGATAACAACAATAATAATGATAGCGTCAATAATACATTCAATAGTTAAGATTTATAACTTCTATAATTAACAATTAAGAATGTTTATACATATACATATATACATGCTAATTTGTTACTTAGGATATTCTATACCTATAAATATTTAAATAAGTAAATAACAAGCGGAAAAGGACCAGAGAAATGACACGGTTAATGTTGTAAGTTTAGATATTCGAACGATGCTTTTAATTCTATAAAGTGATAATTAAAATACGCATGTCATTATCTGATTGTTTTAATTCTAATTATAGGAAACATTTGAAAAATTTTTCGTTCTATATTGTATGTATTTTCAAAATATAAACCAAATATATTATTATTATTATTATGTTATTTTATTTTGATATTAGTATGTTATATTGATTATTTAATTAGATGAATTGCGAAAGACGAGACGGTTGTTTTTTAATTATGTGTTTACGTTTGAAAGTGATGAGGTACAAAGGTGGAAAAACCGTTGAAAATCCTTCCAAAATCCTTGGGATCTAGGAAGTTGTCTCTGCGCTTGGAAATATAGATAGGCGTTAAATCAATGATACCGAGCTTGCGCGCCCGGTCATTTCGACCATCTCTATTATGGTAAGAGATTGCGAGCATCTCGGTCTGCTCGCCAGCTTAAACTTGTCCGTTCGTTCGGTTTCACTCTTTCGCAAGGAACAGCTCCTCCTCGATAGTATTCGATCTATCTCTGTTCTCTCGTATCGCCTCTGCTCGTTTTCATATCTGGCAACCTTCACCTCCTACTGTCTACCTTCCCCACCTCGGTGTCGTCAATCTAAGCTGCTCTTCCCCTAGTTCCGTCGTTTATCCCCGATTCCGTCGTTGCCGCTGCTGTCGCCGCTCTCATCGCTGCAGCCTCCATCGCCATCGTCATCCCTACCACGCACCACTAGCATCATCCCCGCTGGTGCCAATGTCACCAACAACACTACTACCATTACCATTAGCTGATATTCGCCGACTGCCGTCATTCCTGTTTTCAGGGGTGGTTGCGAGCACGCGCTCGCACCAGTAGAATAACGTTACTCCTAAAACGCCCGAGTCTAACGTAGTACCGTAGTAAGAGTAATGCGCGCGCGCTAGACAACCAGCCAGCCACCTTTCGTTCGAGCACAAAGCGACTCGTACACCATCTTTGTCCGATTTTCATGAGGAAGTGTTATCAAAACGAAGTCATCGCGTGTAATATAGTTATTTTTCATCGGGAAAGAACCTATATTTTCGCTGTATATTATATTTTCGCGTATCGTATTTTTCAGTGCGCGCGTAACGCGTGCAAATACTTGATTTTTCTGTCATTTTTTTCTTTCTTCTATCTCCTCCGCATTCCCCTTCTTTGCTTCGTATCCCACCCCTTCTGGTCTCTCCCTTTCTCTCTCTCTCTCTCTTTCTCCCTACAACTACTCCCTTGTCCCACCCTCGTCCTTCATTCTTTCGGGTTCTCTGCGCGTTACGGTGTGAACATACTTGAGAGATCGCGCGACAAGGCGGTAATCGGTGGTGCAATCGTGAATCTCACAAAACGAATCGTGTCGACAGCGCATCGAACAATGTCTAATTTATTCGTGAAAAGAAAAATATACGTTCACTTGGAAAGGATACGATAATAAAGAAGAACACCGACTTACTGTCTGGGGGGTGATTTGACGTAGGATCGTTTTTTTCGTTTCTCTCTTGGTTGGTTAGTCGTTCGGTCCTTCGGGCGATCGGTCGATCGGGTGTTCATACGCGCGTACGTCGAAGACGCTTTTATTTTTGAGATGATTCGATCGTTAGAGAGGTTCGTAATATGTTCTGAAAAATGTTTACGACGAAAAACTGCGCGTTGGAGGTGAATTACGTGTTGTTGAACTTGCTTTGATTGGCTAGTTTTTACGAGCTTTTCCCTATACATCGTCGTCGTTATCGTCGTCGTAGACGTCGTTACCATTCTGGTTGCATTGTGTCGTCATTGTCGTATCGTTATCATCGATAGTGACACTTTCATCGGCGACACATTAAAAAAAATAATGATTTGATTCGGAATCGAAATATATAAACGAGCAAAGTCCTAGCGAACAATACCAGACGCACAAATACGTACAAAAGTTCGTCGCAATGAAACGTCGAAAACGTGCGTAGTGAAATGAAAGGAGTTTTTTACGTTCGACGGCTATACGATTAGCGTAGTTTCGATCGTCAGGTGCGAAGAGTACGTTTAAAGAAGAAGATGAAAGAAGGCGAAGAATCATACATAGAAGCTTCTACGTACTAGCGTATATAAGCGTTACAAAGTTGTGTTTTCTATCAAATGTATGTAGATGTATATGGATAAACAAGATTCCGTCGAAACGGTAAATTTACGCACGTAACGCTGACTCGCGTGTTCCGGCCGATCGATCGCTACTACGAGGGAGCGGTAAGACTAATTCTTTTCGAGAGGTTACTTCGAATTAACGTATGCGTTTTTCTTTAAAAGATTGGTTCGTTCGTTTCATCGTTTATTCGTATTCGGCTGCTCATCGATAGCATCGAAATAATGTTTCTGTCCGTGGAAAAATTTGTGCACTGTGGAGTGTTGTTACTGTTATGGATCAAATCAAGTTATCAGCAAGAAGAGGATATACCTCATAACGAGTAAGGATCTATAGCTTCTTTTTCTATCATATATCGTTTCAGTTTACACGTGTATTTAGCAAGTAAATGGGAAATGATAAAACAATGACTCAATTTAGAAGGGATTAATGGGATTAACAAAGCAAGGTGAATATAGAATATTATAAATGGAAGGGCGTGGATGTTTTAAGAAAGGAGTATATCCACATGCGATGTTAAACGTATCAAAACGTATTATTGATAGCGTGGTAATCGGTTCGACTCTAACACAAGTTAAAAATTAAAGAAAATCGAAATTCTAATTGTATTCTACTCCTCTTTTTGTGTGAAAAATATTTATATTTTTGTCTACTGTGGTAGAGGGGAGAGGGATAAAGGAGACACGAAAGATGCCGAAACCTAATACGTCACAGCGCGCAATGGTACAAATATGTATTTCCTTATATATATCTGACTGCATTAAAAGACAGACAGTATAGTACTTTCAATGATTCTCGAAGGAAAGCAACGAAAATTGGAAAGAACGCAGGCGCGTGTAGAGTTACGCGTACACAGTCGATTAACGAGGATCAGAATCGGCGTGTATGCGTACGACCTACGTGCGTGCGCACGTGAGCATGTACGTAAGTACGTACATACATACAAATGCATCAATGGTGCTCATTTACACGTAAAGCTATACGATGTATGCATATGTGGAAGCTGGCGAGCAGAACAATCGTCGATTTCGGTTCAAACCGAACCGTTAAGTAGAGTGCAACTTCATGGTTATACGACATTTTCCCCAAATTAAGGCGCAATTAACAATCGATATAACGATATTCGTCTCGATATCTTCCTTATTCGTTTAGTGACATATTTACGATTTGTTATCTCGATATCGAGTTTCATAATTTGAACGGTCAAATTCACTTCGCCGTTAGTTTGCAAATCAGCGAACAAACGAAATAAAAGAACTCGATAATGCTAATAATACCGTGAACTAACGTACTTTAACGATTCGAATATTTACAGAATGCAGATCAAAATACACGAAACGTGTTTCGCCACAGATTCTCCAGTCCATTTAACGTTATCTTTGTCGTATTGCAGAGTAAAAAACTGGGCCTTAAAATTTGGCGTTGATTTATGGGAATTTGGCAAACAAGTTACGAAAATGAGCGAAATACAAAGGGTAAGCAATCGATCATTCTTTTTTCATTTTTTAGTAGCAGGCCTGGAAGAGTAGAAAGTTTTGAAATAGCGAAGTGACACGAATTTCATTCGAATAAAGGTTAACTATGCAATTACCGTGATATATCTGAACGTAATTTATAGGTAATAGTATTTTCATATGTCAGATTAAAAGGTATAATTTGTAACGTTAGTACGATACACGTGGAAAACTTAGCCTGTCGCACTTTCGTTTCAGAAATATCACGATATGGAAGCACAAGTTGAGAAAAAGGATGGACTGGTCGTTGTCCGAGACATAGCCACGGAAGTAAAAAACATGTTGGACTTTAAAATGAACGCCGTTATGGTAAGGATGATTGTATCACAAAAAACGAAAAGACCATTGTATATCGTTAACGAACATTTACAGAGGTTGGTAGAGAGTGCCGAACAGGCAGCTGTGTCGGCACCGAGAGACGGGAACGTAGTGCCGAAATATTATCCTTCTCAGCGTTTCGACGTTGCTTCAGACGGAAAAATGTCGGGAACGGGACAAGAACCCTTGCTCTCGACTAATCGACACTTCGATCACTTAGCCGTGAACATTACTTTTTCGGCCGTTTTATTACCTGCTGGAGTAAAAGAAATTGGTAAGTATATTTGAAAACCACAGGATCATGGCCCTGATAGGAACGCGACTAATTAAACGCGAAAACTAAACGATCTAATTAGATGATATTCTCACGCTATTATCCCTTCTCTGCAGATCGCGAAGTAGCCGCTGGTATCCAATGGAGTCAATATTTGGATTTGTTGTTTGTTAATAATTATGAGAGCGATTCTTCGCTTTCCTGGCAATATTACGGAGCGACTTCGGGATTCTTAAGACGTTTTCCTGGTACGGTTTTACCCACACGCATTATCGATTTCTTCTTACAATTTGTTTCGTTTCACCGAGGCTTCTCTCCTCCGTAACGATAATCGTTTACTTGTTTCAGCAATTTCTTGGCCACCCATCGAGGAACGAAGTTTCAGCGCTGGTAAAAGCGCGAATCGAGTCGTTCGAGACGTGTACGATTTCCGAATTTCTAACTGGTTCGTTGGAGCCGCGAATAGTCCGAAAGACCTGGCGATATTGGTCGATATCGACTGCTACGTCTCAGAGAGGAATAAGCGTTTGGCTGTAACTACCGTTAAAACTATACTCGATACATTGGGTCCTAACGATTACGTTAACGTTTATCGTTACGGAGATACCGCGGAAGAGATCGTACAATGCTTCAAAGACAGTTTGGTTCAAGCGTCGCCTGAAAATGTCCAAGAATTGAAAATAGCAACGAATTCGATGAAGCACGAGGAAATGCCAAAAAATATATCGGCTGCTCTTGGGACCGCGTTTGAGATTCTTCATAAATACAACAAAACAGTACAAGGGAGTCAGTGCAATCAAGCGATCATGTTAATTACTACGGATAACGCTGGCCTACCTACAGAGGTGATAAAACGATACAATTCGCCTCACATGCCTGTCCGTATTTTTACGTATCTAATTGGTGGTGACAAAAGTCCGGAATTACACAACGTAGCATGCTCGAACAAAGGTACGTATTCGCTGTTCTTTTCCTCTTTTTATTTTCCATTTTTGTTTTCTAAGTTTTATCAACCATGCTCGATACTACAGTAGCATCAAGTAAAACTCAATTCCTGTGAACTTGTCGCAACGCGAATAGATTACGTACCTGATTGAACTTCGTACGATAGGACTCCACTGATTCTCCTCGATACATTCGTCCATATAGCGAAATTTCGTGTTAGCACAATTGAATTTAACTAGTAAGAATTCATTTAATTGGGCATTGACTAAAATTTCACTGTATTTAACAAGTTCATTCGGTAAATCATAGTTGTTTATTGTACTATGCCTTTACGTAATTACATCATGTGTTATTCGTGTCTCCATATTTTCTCTTATGCAGGATTCTACGCGAGGATCACTGAACTGGAAGACATTAGAAGTAAAGTTTTCGAATATATAAAAGTGCTCGCACGGCCTATGGTGCTCTACCAACACGAACACCCTATTCATTGGAGTCCAGCTTACGTTGGCGGAAAGGTGAGCAAATTGAAAACCCTCGCTTTTACTTTATATCTGTCTTATATCCAAACGTGATCTGCTGTACGCGGAGTTGTCTTCTCCTGTGTTTCTGTTTCAGAGCGGTAGATATGGTAAAGAACACATTGGCCAGTTAATGATGTCAGTCACCGCGCCTATCTTAGATCGCCGGAATTATACGGTAATATGTTTTCATCAAAATCTAGAATCTCGTCACTGTTTGTAACGGTGATTTCATTTATCTAGTTTGAAATACATTAAAGTTTATCATAAGCTTATCATAAACATATATATATATATACGTCCTTTTCTCTTCCTCCCTTGCATATCATTATGTATCATTATGCATCTGTTGCAGATGAAAACTGCTAACTTATTGGGTATCGTCGGCACGGATGTACCTATAGAAGAGATACAGAAGTTGGTTTCACCTTATAAGGTAGATAAAATCGGTTATGCGAATATGTAACGTTCACGCGCAATGGAAAGCGGATTATTCAGATTAATCGCAGATTATTTTTCGAATTTGTAGTTGGGTGTCAACGCATATTCTTTTATCGTCGACAATAACGGCCGCGTTTTGTATCATCCGGATTTACGACCATTGGTGAGCAATGATTTCGTGGAATGCTTTATAGAGGAAATTAATCTAATTGCTGTTGACTCATAGCCTTAATGTTCACTGACATCGCATTGTTTGTTTTTATTTACGCAGCCAGGAAACGTAGACGTAAGCAAATCAAATACACAGATCGTAGCATAGTACAAAAATTAACGTTTGCCAGTTGCAAAATTTCCGTTGCTCTCGTTTCGTTGCAGTACGAGGAAACGTTAAAACCCACGTATATCAACGTAGATTTGTCGGAAGTCGAACTTGCCGAGTACGATGGACCGTTGCACCCGTTGAACAATTCCCTTCTGCTCGATGTAAGTATCCTTAATAACTACCTAATGATAATATTATCGACCTTCTCTTTCTTTATTCTGCTATGTCGTTACACAGTTGAGGCACGACATGATTGATCAAAAAGAAGGGGAAACTAGTTTCGCGATCAAAATTCATTACGACAATATGGTGAGTGAAAGAACGACGTTGGGAGCGTTACATGCTGCCTCTTACACGTCTGTTAACGCTCGAATCGATTTTTTACGCGTCTATTTTGCCATACGTCGAAGAAAAGTTCTGATTTTGAAAATATACATATACCGACAGGTACGGTAAGAGGCAGTAGCTACCTCCACTCATGTACGTCCATATTTAAACTTGAGCCTTATCTTCGTACATGTAGAAGATCTCCTATCATCGCGTTATTTAACATAGGCATTTTGTTATTTTTCCGGTACGCGCGCTCATGCGTATACATACAGAGACGAGTTACCATTAGGCGTCACAATTATTTTTATACACCGATAGAAGGAACTCCGTTTTCATTGGGGCTGGCATTGCCCGAGAACTATGGTATGTTTCAATTGAAGGCCGAACAAGAAATCAAACGTGCGATAATAAACGGTAAGCAAATTACCAGCAATATGTCTTCGATAGAAAACGAAGCAATAAGTAAAATAAAGTAATTTCTATAATTTGGTACGTCTCACGTTTTCAGTAACCGACTATTTCAAGGGGAACAATTGGAAGGTGCATCCCGATTGGGTGTACTGTGAATATAGTTCGGCTTCCGATAAGTGGTTTCCCACCCCCGAAGAGCGCGTTCTCCATTTTTTGGCACGAACGCAAAGCCCGGGGTGGAAATGGATGTCCTTGAGACCAAGGAGTCCGAGCTCGCATCACAAACAAGCGAGCAAGCCCGACAAAGATGCTTATTATTGTAAGTTGTAGCAACGAATAAGTGATTCGTTACCTTTTACTCACCGTCGGTTTTACTCCGTAGGTGATAAAACATTAGTGCAGTCCCTCGTGTTGGATGCGTTGGTCACCGACGGTTTCGACAAAAGAGGTGCGATGCACAAAGAGGAAAATCAAAGGTAAGTGAGTTGCGTGAGTGGAACTCGCGGATGCATGTCCTCCATGCGCGGACACTTATAGTGGAAATATTGACAACGCACTGCAATGCACAAGCAAGCACGCGGTTTTTTTTTCACGCACCGATTATCGAATAACAGATCTTATTTGATATCGTAAAACTGCTGCCTACTCTACTTTCTCCCCCTCTCGCCGTTGACTCGCATAGTCGTGTTGCGAACGAGATGTATCGTTGAACGATAATGAGAAGGGACTGCGTTGTTGAGAACACTGTTCAAGGTACGAGGGACCTCTTCGTTTTGCGACGAAAAGGAGATGACAAGGAAACGAGAGCCAGATTAAGGAGGTGTTTCATCCGTAGAAACGAAAAGGAAAAGGCAGCGCAACGACGTGAAATCAGAGAGAAAGAGCTGGAAAACGTGCAAGAAGAGTAAAAAAGAAAGAGGAAATAACTTTGATCGTTTTTAACTGTTCGACTTGTTATAATTTCTTTCTTACAATCACTTCGATCAAGTAAGATTAGAAAAGTATCTGTGTATTTATGTACATATTACACATTATACATGTATACTATAGTAGCGTTGTTCGTTCAAACGCGACACGTACTATGCGCAACGGCTAATCTTTTTCATTTACAATGCTACCTTTTATCGCATATTTTTATTACATTTTATATTGTGTGTCTCCACCGCTAGCCCTATTGCCATACTGATGGCTCTACTGCACAGGTAATCCATTATGCACAATTATTTGTATAAGCGCACTCGTCGATATATTGCACGGTGATCTTTTCCTAAATGTCGTTTTAATCGTTCGTTTTACGATACCTGCGAAAACATTCCCGATGATCCGATATCCCTTTCGTCGTTATATTTTCGTATCTCTCTTGACTTTTTCTGAACGATCGATCGAATCGTATGAATCGTACGAAGTTCCTCGTTCCTCGACAACTGTAAAAGTACGGCATCGAGATTTACTTCTTTTCAAGAACATACGTAATCGCGAAGTTGTATCGTGCACATTCCATGTTCTAAGCAACGTTAACGGAAATCGGAGAATGAATAGGTTTGATCGTACTTGAACTTTATTCTGCAAAGTACGTATTCTATGTATCGATTTTGCTACGCGGTAATTATTCATATTCGTTATCGAATATGAAAACAACGATACTTTGTGCTCTCTTATACTTTTATTGCGCCGTCTCTTACTTATTTTATTACGTTCCATATAACTACCTTCGTGTTTGCAGTCAAGGAAAAGGCACATTCGGTGTAACAAGGAGTTTCATCGCAACGAAAAGCGGCCTATTTCGTTGGCACGAGCATCAACAAACTGAAGAAATCACGAACGAACCGTAAATGTCAAACATTCATTGTCGTTTAATTCCGTTTTCTAAATCTCATACGAATTTTTTTTTTGTCGTCTCATCTGAAATGCGTACATGTTCGCCTTTATAACAAAAACATCGACATATTAGAGTCTGATCGCGGTAGAAATTTCTTCGGATCGACTTTACGATAAAAGCATTGGTAATGGTGACGAAATTTTTGCTGTTTATTTAGCCCGTTTGCTGACGAGTATGCAAGAGCTATAGATTCTTCATGGTATAAACGCGCCGTCGACCAACACTATATAGAACCGGAAAGTTTCGTTTTCAGCGTGCCTTTTGACGCCGGTAAGTAGTACTTGCAGCTTTCCACTTTCCACGGATCAAATAATAGTTGACCATTCGCGATCGACGTATTTTCTTCGAGGCACTGGCACACAGCGAACTGTCGTAGCTGGAGCAATCGACGTTTACAGTTTGAAGAGGAAATGTTAAATATCGCCACTGTGGCCACGTTGCATCGCAAATGGTTAACGCTCGAACATTATTCTATACCGATTTTTCTTTCTCTCTTTCGTCGTCGTTTCTTAACATCGTTCGTATAGTAAATTTAACGGAATTGATAATTAGCCGACAGCCCCAATCCACTGGTCACGGCCACTCACGCGGTTTTCATCGGGACGGGACACAGAGCACCAGCAGCGGTCGTGGGTTTACAGTTTCAACATTCTTCACTGGCCTCTCGTTTCGTCAACATTACTTCGACGGTAAGTTTGTAGGAAATATCGTTTACTCGCTCTATTTTGCTTTCCTTCCTGGAATACGAATCGAAGAACGAAGGCAAATCGCACGGATCACATCCGTTTTCGCGACTCGTTTAACAACGATTTTCTTCTACTTTTCAGTGCAGTGGTACGAGCTGCAAGAAGAACTGCGCTTCCGAAGCATTAGACTGCTACATCTTAGACAATAACGGTTTCATTATAATCAGCGAACGACACGAGCATACCGGGAAATTCTTCGGCGAAATCGACGGTACTATAATGGATTCTCTGGTTCAGGACAGGATTTATAGGTAAAAATCTTGAAGCGCGGTAATACTTTGAGATGGAAGGAAGCGTTGGAGAAAGAAGAAGAACTCTTTAGGCTCGTAGGTTTTCATCTTCGAGTTAATTTCGTTTGTCGATTTCAGGAAAGTAACGGTGACCGATTACCAGGGCACTTGCAGTCCGCAAGAATCTCATCAATCGGCCGCACCGAGGACTTTCTCCGGATCCATCGCGACAACGATCGCGATACTGGGAAATTTTCTGTGGAGCATGGCGTTCGGCTTTAATTTTCAAAATTTATGGCAAGTTGCTTTCGCGTTCGCTGGCGAATCCGCGAGGGCACTCGATGGTAAGACATACTCGCTCGAAAGAACGCTATGCCGAAAGAGAAAAGAGGCGAATTTCCTAGTTCTCGAACGTAAATATACTTTCAGAGGACTCGATGGGAGACGTTCACGAGTTCGATCCGTTCGTGATAAGTAGAGACTCGATCGACGAAACAACAGAGGGAAACGAAGAAGCGTTCCCAAGGCTTCCGGCAATTGCCGCCGCAACCCCCGTTTCTCCTGGAACAACGCGTGCTACGTCTGCTCATTATCCGCAGAGAAATTTGAGATCTTGCGAGAAGAAGACGGATCTTTATATTCTACAACCCGAGAGATTGAATACCAGCGGTCAAAGTAATCCGTTGAAAGGAAAGTTAACCAACTGTCATGACACCGGTTGCGAAAGGTAGGTGTATAAGTATATTTCACGTTCGGGAACCACTCGCAGCGAGATAATTTTCGATCGAGGATATTATTGAGAATGGCACCGACGATCGATCGGACGATATTTGTCTAGGAATCGTTGGGCGAGATAGTAGATCCGAGATATAAAATCTCGAAACGAATATATCTTATATCTCGGATTTACGGTCTCCTCCCTTTGATATCCAGCAAATTTCGGGATTACAACCTCGATTGACAGTAGGTAGACTTATGGTCGCTTTGTCGCAGCATTCAAAGATGTATATGTATGTTTACAGGCCGTTCAGCGTACAAAAGATTCGCCATACGAATTTGATTCTGCTGGTGGTAGACACGTTGTGTCCATGCGGCAGTAAACAATTGAGCATCGAGCCCATAGAGGCTCTGACGGAGCCTGGTGCTTGTATCGCGAGAAGAGAACGTTTGTATCGTCGTAGGCCTCCGAAATGTATAAACTACCATCCGGAGGAGATGGAGATCAAGTTTTGTGGTAGCGCGAGTCGTCCTTGTCATTTCTTTTCCACGTTGGTTATCGCGATCGTTTCAAGCACACTCGCCACGCGATTCGCGTGACTTTGTTCGAATTGATCTTACACATACACACGCACGCACATCTACACGTACACACACGGACAGATAGACAGAGAGCGGACAGACGGACAGAGACACACAGATACTCGTGAATTAACGTTTTTGAAATGAATTTAGCGTTGCCGTTTCTATGAAACAGTTATGAAAATGGTATACTAGTTTATCGGTTTAATACCTATATAATTGATAAATACGTGCATACGAGTGAGCGAACGAGTGCATGCGTATGCGCGTTCGTACACGAGTCAGTGGGTGCGCGCATACGAGCTTCGTGCGTGAGCGCGTGAAAGAACGAGATACGAGTGTGCGCGCATAAACTACATATATGTATATACGTATATGTTGCGTGTGTGCTTATGCGTGTGTGCGCGCGTGTGTGTGTATATATACATGTTTACATACATACATACATACATGCATGCATGCATGCATACATACATACATACATACACACGATACGTATACGTATGAACGTTAATTTACACGCATTCACGTACGTGCATATGCACTCTATGTGTACGTAACAATCACATACATACACATGCTCACGCCTTTGAGGCAAGCGTGCGCACGCGCACAGAGACATGTACATATCCAAATACATAATATTAATGTTGATCTATGATTACATATCCCATTATAAATTCTGTTGCGAAGAAATTTGTGAATATTTCCTAATCGTAATATTTCGTAATCGTATTACGTCGAATCTAAGTCGTAATATATAAAACAAATCGATAAGAATTACATGTACTCGCGATGCGTGTTCGAACAGAGTGGCAACGACAATATGCGTAAACATCTAAGATCTCGTAATACATACATCCGATTACAGTCGCGGCAAGAAGCACGATCGTTTTTTATCGTTTGGACGAGCCTGCCGTGCCAAACGAGACCTTCTATTTCTTTATATTTCGATTCGACTAAGACGTAGCGTTACCGTTGTTTCCATACCTTCCGAGATCGGTATATGCTGGTATCAGCCGATAATCATTTACACGTGAAGCACACGTGCAACGTGTGCACGATCCACGCGAGTACAAGCGTGGTCAGTTTTATAATTATTAATGCTCCGAGCGCGCGTGTTGTTTCGTTCAAGGTGGTAATAGAAATTTTATCGAAACGTTCCTATTTCACGAACACGCTGTCGTCGTACGATCGATAGCGGCAGATCGATATCGATGTTCGTCGGAAACACCAAAATTTCCCCTTGAATTCTCAATGTAATTGCCAAAAGCGTCGACCTCGCGTCGTATCGTGTACGTTACATAGCGTTAGACTTTGATATTACGCTTGCACTTACACTAGATCGAGTACCGATCCCTTTTTTCTCTCGTTTCGCCTTTCTTTAAAGTCGCGCGGTTATTAAACGCAACGCCAACAAGTTGTCGCACAACGTTCCGCGATTTCAATTCCAAATTACCGCTTGTAATTCTACGTAAACGCGATAGACTACGTTCGTCCAGAGTGAAGAAACAAGACGAACGCGAATGGAATATTGCGCGAGAAGCTTGGAGCAACGAAGAACCGACTAGGAAGTAAAGTGTCGTAGCACTTTCTTTTTATTAAAAATAAGGCAACATAAAATGTAACATATTTACGAAGAACTATCAATTTCAAATGTACGAAGACATTAAACGATACTTACGCGTTGTGTCGGTAATTCGACGACAATGTACGTCTGGCCAGATACTCGTCTATGTACTTGCGCGATTCCACACTGGCACGAACACGCGAACGGAAAAGAGAATTCGTCCGTGTACCATGCTGCGCGTATTTGCGTACGTAACGTCTCTTTACCGCGCGCAAGTACGTATACACGTGTCCGAACAAGATCACGGTGTGTCGGAAAAATTGAACGTACGACGTATCCGTCGTGTAATAGCCTAACGAAACGTGAAATGCGAAATAAAAAAAGGTGAATTAAATCGAATTGAGAGAGAGAAAGAAAAGAAAAGATTACAATACTCTATCATTACGTATCTCGCAGTTTGGTTACCTACGATAATTTAGTACGTTGTTTACAAATCTGCGGCTAGAAGTATATCGCGCTTCGTTTGCAGCGGCAACAGCGTGAATTACAGGATGAAGCTATCGAGAGGGGGTTTACAACAGTCTCGCGGAAAAAAGAACAATAAAATTTACGAATGTTTTAGGTAAGAGGTCGTCTTTTGAACAGCACTTCTAGGTGCTGCTATGTCTTCCATTATTTGTATATTGATAATAAAGTCGATTATTAAACACGCAGCGGTATGCGCCACGTGTGTGCATCATATATAGGTGTATATGTGCCGAACATGTTCTTAGGTACGTGTATGCCTATATGACGAATAGGGTATCGAATACTTAAAATTATGTAACTGAAATACGGCATAATATTATATAATAAAAGTTAAATGCAAGATAAACTCGCGCCTTTCTCTTTTTTTAGGTTAGCAACTAAGTGATTGCGGATTTTGTCAATAGATGGTATCGATATATCCGCGGTCACTTAGTTGCCAACCCAATACATGCCAAACGGTTACGCTCCTTCGACGAAACGGAACCGACCGAACTCGATCGAAAAGCTACGATTGGCCGGCGATTTCGATAGACGCGATATTAATCGAAAATTCGAGAGAAATGGATTCCAGAGAGAAGAAAGTTGGTGGAAACGCAACGACGATTCGTAACACGATAACCGTTTAGTCGATGCGACTAGAGGTAACGGATTTAAACGAAAGACCCTGAATTTTTTGGTAGCGCGGCTATCGTATCCACGCGATTGAAAACGCGGAACAGCTACGGATCTATTCGACGGTGACCGTTCTGCTATCGCGACAAATGCGTTTGGCCCACGAACGATCCCGTAGCCACGCACATCCCCTTCGATGGT